CCAGGATCCTGTTCTGCCTCTAGGTCCTTTCAGTGAGCTAAACAAGCTTGGCTTAGCCCCCGTTTCATTTGGGGTGGGTTAGTTGTGTTTGATGGTACTTTCATCCCCCACTTTCTGCGTAGGCTTTGCTGGGGGGTGTCTCAGGTCCTGCTGATCTGCTCAGTGCAGTAAACCTGTTGCTTTCTCTGCGTTTTAAGGGAGGTTCAGGTTTACAAATGGCAAATTTAGCTCCCTGTTGCAGTGTCTGTTGTGCACTGTGCTCATAACTGTGTGTGCAGCATCTCGTAGTGTTATTTACATCAGGGTATCAGATGGTTTCTGTCTCTCTGCCCATGCTGTGAGCTGGTTGTGTCTCTGTGCTGCTGACGGGGGAGAAGCAGGAGGTGCTTTGAGCAGAGGAGACGCGTGGGAACTCCTCCGTATTCCTGTCGTGTTTTATTGAGGAGTTTCCCTGTTCCTGGGCTGCCCTGGATGCTCCTCTCGCCTTTCCCTGGGTGAGAGGGAACGAGCTGAGCTCCTTGTCAGGAATGAGCGCTGTGACTTCCTTGTGCGCTCACAATTTGGCAGGAAGGGGAAAGGCTTCCCCGCGCGCGTAGCTGTGGCTGGGCTCACTTTCTGGCTCCCAGGCTGTCTCCTTGTTTTCGAGGCCTAGTGCCAGAGCTCAGGCTCCAGCAGGAGAGATGTGCTCCCACCGATGCTCCGTGCCCAGCCAGCCATCCCAGGGCCTTCCTTTGGGATTCTGCAGCCCCTCTGACCTCCGGGATATTTGTAGGTTTCAGGTTTTTTTGGTAGCTTGCTTGGATTAATGGTTTTAAAAGCCAGACAAGTTCTGCAATGTACTTGGCATAAGTTTAGGCTCAGCAGACAGACACAGCTGTAATGGTCAATATTTTGGTGTAATGCTTATTAGATAGTAAAAACACATCACACTAAGCCTGTGCTAAAATAGGCTTAAAATGGTTTTCCTGCCCTGAAATGTTTCTTCTGTGGTTTTTTTTTTTTTTTTTCCCCTGCCACTGTTATATGTAGTACAAAGTGATTCTGTAGGGGCAAGTTCTTAGGAAAATTACTCCCTATGTGGAACTTGGAGATGGATTAAACTCCTAATTTTATTTTCATCCTGGAAATCTACATTTATGTTTTGTTATTTTTGATTTTTTTGCAAACTTCACTGGAATCTCCTGTGAAACTTCACACAGACCTTCTATGATTCCAGGGTTTTCCTTGGCTTTTTGGTTTTTTGAGGTCTTTAGCTCTTTTCAACATTCTTGAACTTCTCAGTTGCTTTAAATCTTTTTTTTTTTTTTCGAAAGTTTTGGATATGAACCTCAGAAATATCTGAATATGATCTGGAGACAGACGTGAAAATATTGTTCTGTAGTGTTTAATTTGCTTCCCATTACCAAACAAAGTCTGTTTCTTCATCAAACATCCTTATGTTTTTACTGGTTATGTATCAAAGTATCGAGAAGAAATGAGTAAAAATTCTCCTGGAAATCATTTATGTAAATATTGATAATTAATATTTTAAGAACTTAATGTATTTTTAAGCTAGCAAAACTTGACCACTGTGAAAGTGTTTATGAATGCACAAACCTGCCAAGGATAAATTAAAAATGAGCTAAATGTTCTTTATTTCCAGTGATGCAAAGGTAACTAATAGAAATCTAAGCCAGTAATAAATAGATGCCTTGGAATGAGAAGATAAAAACAATAGTTTGCAGTGACTTTGATTAGGATTTTTTTCCAAGTTCAGAGCTTGGTTTAAAAAAAGAAAAGGTGGTTAATTCAGGGGTAATTACACCAAAGGTTTGGGACTTGGTTATTGAAAAACAATGGATCTCACTCAGTCACAGCCTAAAGCAGCAGACAAAAATAATGAGTGAGTGAGGACTGAGTCAGCTCAGGACCAGTGAAAAGGGAGGTATTTTTGCTTTATTGTTGCTGTTTCTAGGAGAGTTATGGAGTGTTCATGGGGTTTGTCTCAGCTTTTTTAATTCATGGTAAATACTGATTTTTAGAGGATATATTGCAGTCTACACCCTGGGTTAGAAGTAGAGTGTTCTCACCCCTCCCCCTGGACTTTTTCTGGGCATAGTGGCAGCAGATCTTGTCAACAATTAGCAAACTTAGTTTGCAAGGTGCTAATGGAGTAAATTAAATGACTCTTCTCATCAAAGCCTGGTCGTGGCACACGTACCTTGCCCAACAGATGGGAAGCACAGACTCCTGTGAGGTCGTTGGGTCCCTCCCTGCCCCCACTTGTTCCAAAGTGCTTATTCATCTGAGGGAGTTAGGAACAGGTAGGTGCAGGTTTAGGTGAGGCTCTGCTCTGACTGGGCTCTCTTGGCAGCAGCACAGCCTGTGTGTCACTGCTTCACTCTGCTCAGCTGTTTCTGGAGCTGCATAGTAACCTGAGCAGGAAACTGCTCACAGTTGTGGCTCTTTTTGCCAGGGCTCAGCTGCAGGGAGTTTGGCCCTGTGTCTGGTGTGTCAGACACTAGAGGTGGTGTAGGGCAGGAACAAAGGGTGGGGGCTGTTAAAACCAGCACTGCAACCATGATAAGGCTCTAGGAGTGTGTCTTTATTGCCACTGAAGGTGTTTTTCACTCACAAGGAAGGTGTGGAATAAAAATCTTGCTAAATTTGGTTATATTATCAGTGTAAACTTGGTTGTGTTATCAGTACCTCGTAGCAGATCCACAGTCATGTGCATTAACTTCATCTTTCTGAAGCTTTGCTCTGGTGCAAAGTTAACCATTCACTTAATTGCTTGGGAGATTATGGCTCAGGTTTACAAAAGCCAATCTAAACTTCCTATTTTACAGCTGAACAGCAGTGAAGTGAGTGCTTGGCTGCTTCCAAATGTTTTTGTTTCTTACCAGTTGCTATGGGAAGACAGCCTTAGGTGAAACACAGAGTTTATGGTTCAACTTTCTTAAACTCGTCCTGAGTCTGGGGACTGTTTTTTCTCTTCTCAGAGGAGTGACAGACTCCTTAATGGACTTGACTTTTTACTGAGATACTAAGGTGCAATTTCCTTAGCTGGACCAGGAGTTGTCAGGAAGATAGGTCCAACCTCCTTGTCTCCAGTTTGTTACAGATCAGTGTGACTTGCAGAACCGAGAAGAGTGAAGAGACAGGAAATTTGTTAGTCTGAATACTGTGTCTAAAACACCTTTAAAAACAGGATATGCTTTTGGTGCTTATTTTTTCTGAAGTAGGAACTTCTCTCAACACTGCAATGCTAGAAGTAAAATGCAGCAGTAAAATTTTCTTGTTGTTTCTGAAAAATTGTTAAAAATAGATGTGAAGATCAGTTTTCAGTTGTGCTCTTGTGCCCTGTATTTAAAATACGTTTTCTCTTACCTCTTAGGAAATTCTCTTGGTTTTAGAATCACTCTTCAGTAGCAAAAATGTTTCTAAATCATTTATTTAGGTACTTCACTAAGAAAATGGGATTTGTTGGACTGGAAAGAAAAACGAGGATGTTCTAAAGTAGAAAATAAAACTTAGAAAACAAAAGCAATCAGAAATTTGATGTCAGTTTTCTCTGCCTTCCCCTACTTCTGCCCTGGAGCAGAGAACCTATAAAGTGCAGGTTTAATGGCTTACTATAGTGGAAGGTATAATGCAGATGAATGCTGACAGTGAAGGAATCCAGGAGTAAGTAGTGAAGTACCAAAATCTGGAGAAATACACTACTTAGGCAGAAGTGATGAACTGTAAATGCTTCTAGGCTTAAGCAGAGCACAGGCCTGGCCAGGATGTGCTGCACTTACACCAGTTCTTGCCCTGAATGAAGGATCAGCAGCCATTAAAATACTTTGGTTTTATTTCTTTGTGTAGTCAAATTCTTCCCTCAGAGTTTCCCTGGAAGATCTGAAATATTGATCTGTACTTCATGTGAGCCTGAGGACAGAAGTTGTCTGTTCACTAGTTTCCTTGAGGACCAACCCAAGTGCTTTTTTGCTAAGCTTCCTGAGTCCAGTTTAATCCATGTGATTGTAGAGCAAATGTGAACATCTACAGTATCACCAGAGAGCAGCTGGAAGGGGCTCTGGAGGTGATCCAGGCAGACCCTGTGCTCAGGGGGAGCTAATTCCAAAGTTAGTTTAGATGGATTAGGGCCTTGTGCAGCATTTCTGAAGATCTCCAGTGATGGCAATTCCATAGCCTTGGTTTGGCTCCTTAGCCACATGCACTGGAAAGAATTTCCCTTGGAGCATTTTGGCACTGGTGCCTCTTACCCCCCAGTTGTGCATCTCAGAAGGGAATCCGTCTCCCTTGTGTGCAGTTAGCCCTTCAGTGGGGAAAGCAGCACTTAGATTCCACCAGGAGAAATGTTGCTTAGCTTCCTGCTGTGGCTGTGTGTAGTGACCTGCTCACCTCACTGCTCTGTTTTGTGTGGTGTCACCCCAAACCAGAAATGCTCTGGCTGTTAGGGGCTGAGGGAAATATTCACTGTGATGTGGCAAACACAGCCCAGTGTGCAGCAGCCTTGGCACAGTGTGGACACAGCCAGGTGTGGAGCTTCCCCTCTGCCAGCACAGGTATTGCCCCCAGCACTGTCACTGGGTGCACTGGGACTCTGCACCCACCAGCTCTGCTCTGTAGGTGATGCTCCATGAGGGCTCAGCTCAGGGAGACTCTGCTGTGTGTTCAGTATCCACTGGTCTCCCTCCTGTTGGGTCAGTCAGGTAGATGAGGGATGATTTGCCTTTGGTAAATTACATAACTGTAAATGTAAGTTACATAACTGTAGTTCTCCCAAAGATAATGGCAAACAATATTTCTGTCCCTTTGATGCTTTCCTGCACCTCCTGCAGCACTGAGCTTTGTTCTTGCCACGTTTTTAACTCTTTTGTTTTGAGTCAGTTTAACCTTTCTGTTAGTTTGTTTCAGCAGTGAAATAGTTTGTTAGGTTGTAGGAAAGATGTG